CCCCTCCAGCATTTCTCGTTGGCTGATTTGTGGATGTGGGACATTCTGACTGGGGTAAGGTGGTATCTCAGGGTTGTCTTTATTTGCATTTCCTTTACCACCAGGGATGGTGAACATTTCCTCATGTGTTTCTTCTAGCAGTGATTTTAAATTCTGGTAATGTAGTAATAATATTAGTAACAACAAATAAATGCAAACTCTACCTCCATTGTTTTCCCATTCACAGGCTTTTGGAATGGCATTTGTTCTCTTTTATTTTGTGTTTAGAAGGAATGTTTAATCTTCTGCACTTACACCATCATGATTGTCCATCTCAATGTGGTATACATCACTACAGAAAATGTGATGTGTTAAATAAAGCCTTCCATCTCTGCCAGGCTATTTGAGTTATTTGAGCTATTTGGTTTGTTTTTACCAGGCTCAGGACTAGGCCCACCTTTCATCATCCATCTCCAGGCTGGACTCGCTCTCTGAGAGTTGTCGACATAAAGCTTCTCTTCTCTCCATTTCCCTCTGCAGTTTCCTCTGTAGCCTCAAGTTCTCTTCCCTCATGTGACGTTCCTCCTCCAGATACTGGGCCATTTTCTCTGAATCTGAAAAGCCAGAGTTCTCATTAGTGCACATTTCATGTAACTGTGTCCCTGCACTACAGTACTTGGAGACAGTCCGTCTCCCTCTGTCATGGGAAGACGAGATCTGGATCTGACGTGTATCCCCAACATCCAAGCTTTACCAATGACTTATACTTAGGGAAAAATATGAACAGGTAGTGCTGTACCACACTCACATCCCTTCTAAGTCGCTTTATGTGGGAAAATAGTGGATCATAGCTGAGTCTGCAGCTACCAGACCTCTGCTCTCTCCACTCTGTAGGGAGGGAGGGTCTCCTGAGATGAAGAAGTTAATTCTGCCTCCTAGGCATGGGTTTGGCTGCTTTGCCAGTCCACACACTGCAGTCACTCAGGGGCCTGTCACTGGACAGGCAAGCACACACTGTGTCTGCTGGGGAGGTACACAGAGAAGCACTGCACTGTATCTTGCGAAGCCTGAGTCTGGTGGTAAGTGAAGACTTGCACAGAGCTGACACCTTGTAGGCTGATGTCTTGCAGACTCATATACCCAGCTTCCAGGCTAGATACTAGACAATGGACCCAGGCTGCACCCCTTTCTCAGGAATCTGAAAAGAGGAAGTGACATGTTCTAGAAGTTCACAAGGTTCTAGAACCTCCTGGTAAGATTCCCCTCCCTTCTTGTGTTATTCTTCACAAGGTTCTATGGCACTCCCTTCCAATAGAAGTCAAAAGACACTTAATGCTCCCTCAGAATCTGCTGTTACAAAGTAACCACAATAGCCTTCATATAAAACTCAGCCTCAGTTTATCTTCTTTACTTTTCTCTGTCTTGATGCGTTTAGGAAAAGGAAAATCCTCATACCCTTTTCTCTTCTGAAAAAACAGCTGGAAATTCAGAGTAAATCTGGGCACATCTAGGAGAGTTTCTTCTAGGCTGTTATTAGCCCATAGAAATTCCAGAAAGGAGGAAGGAGCTGAATGTTACACACACCTAATGCCATCAAATTAGCCTAAGTTTTAAGCAACTCTCTAGCCATGTAGCGCTTTACTAAATGATGACTTTTCATAGATATTCAATGGCTACCTAGGATACATCTTTACAGACTGTACAAAAGCTCTTACAAAACTTTATTTTAGAAATTTCAATAAAAATGCCCAAATTATTAAACACTATTATGTACACTAAACACTAAGTCCCTGGGTTGTTTTCAATACAGCTAGAAACCCTGCTGTCTGATCAAGATGCAAAGATCTCTTTAATTGAAGGCATACTAGGAAAGTATTTACAAAGTGTAAATATATATACATATATAAAAAATATAAATATATATTGGGGGGGGTTGTGGGGCCTTGAACTCTGGGCCTGGGTACTGTCCCTGTGCTCTTCAGCTTAAGGCGAGCACTCCACCTCTTGAGCCACAGTGCCAGAAAACTTCCAGTTTTCTGGTGGTTAATTGGAAATAAGAGTCTCATGAACTTTCCTGCCCAGGCTGGCTTTGAACCATGATCCTCAGATCTCAGCCTCCTGAGTAGCTAGGATTACAGGCGTGAGCTAGAGCACCCAGCTCCAAAGTATAGTTTTAATAGGAATGATTTAAGTGATTTCCTCCCAAATATGCACACACAAAGAATTTTTCACTTAGCTGCACAAACAGTACAAGGTGTATTTACTGACCATCAGAGTAAGCGATCTTTCTCTTCTATAAATAAACAGAAAAGCTCTATAAATAGAAAAGCTCTCCAGATCGCAAGATTCATAAGTTTCCCCAGAATAAATAAAATGACAAAGCACTGTCATTCACATCAAAATGCCACCTGGAACTTTGGCAGAACCCCAAACTGATATTGAATCCCTAAGGACCAGTCCTGGTCACTGGTCTGTTAAAAGCTCCCTCATACATTCTAGGAGATGCTCAACTCAATCGAGAACTCTTGAGCGACAGATTCAAGTTCACATGTAGTTGGGCCTGGAAGCTGAGCAACAGCTGCATAGTCGCATCCAAGGGAGATCTAAGGATGAGCTCAGATTGATGGTATGAATGAATAAAAGTCATTAACCCCTCTTCTAAGCCAGACTGAAACCTACTGCAAGCAGCTAAGTACCACTGGCTGCTGCCTGAATTCAGCCTTTCTCCTCCAAACAAAAGATACAACTGTGCCTTTGGTGGGATCTGCAGTCTTTTCAAAGATCAAGCTTTGAAAAGGAACAACAGGTGAGAATTTTTTAAAAAAATTCTTCCAAAATGTCTTCTGAGAAATTTGCTTGGAGCTCAAGAAGACAAACACACATGAGGAAGAAACAGGAACAGATGACAGCTCTAGAGAGAGGTGTTGTAAGTTATCTGTCTACCCAAGACTGAACACTTCTCCAAGCTGTCTAAAATAATATTTGAGAACTCCTTATTTTGCCTGTTTCCATGGAGTGTATGTACTGGTTTTCAAAATAAAATCAAACACTATTCAGCTTTTAAAAAAGGACCTAAGGCCGCTCTGCATGTATTAGTGGTGGAAAATCTGCCAGGCATAAAATGTGAACACAGAAAGGTACACAGTATGTTCGTCATGCTTTCTATTTGTAAAAGAATTTGATAGACACATACATGTTCCTAGAACTGCAGGAAAAATGTATGAGTGTGAGACTCGGATGGCTGGGGGTCAGAGGGGAGAGGGAGACATATCTTCCACTGTTATTACCTATTCACAAAGAGGAATTTCAGCAGAGAAAAAGCTGGAATAGAAAAGACCCCAACAAAGTGTACGGGGAAAAGGAGGGAGCAGGGGCTAATCAAACATTTCAAAATCTTGCTCCTTTGATCTCCAACTCAACATCTTAGCCTTTTCCAAAATAAGAAGAAGTACAAATTTCAAAAGCCTTTATTCTTCAAATACCACGAGCAAATGTCAGGTAAGAGTAAATTCAGTAGTAAGAAAGGTAAACACCTATTTCCCTTAATATTCCCAGAGTGCACGGAGGTGTCTGGTATTGTTCCAGAACATAGATAAGAAAATTAAAAATATTCTCGACCCTCCTGAAATTATTTGGATTATCTTCTGGAAATATTCTAAAGTGTTTGCCTTCCACTATTAGAGTAGTTTTTATTTTTTAAAAATTATATATTTCAAAATGACAGTTGAGTGCGTATCAATAATAAAGTTTGATATAAATTTAACTAATGCAAACTCACCAGTAAATAGAAGTAAACCTGTCTTATTTGGTAGGTGATGAAAAATAAAATAAAATCAATGAAAACAGAGGCTACATACGCTGCAGCTGGGCAGCTCTCAGTTGCTTCTTCAGCCGCTCCACTTCATTCTTTAAAAACCTGATGTGGCGCATCATGTTTTCTGGAGAATCGATCTCCATGGAGATATCTCTAGGTGATGGAGGAGCTGAGACAGGCTGGTCTAATTTCTCCTGCAGGATTCTTCATTGGGGGTGGGAAAAAAAAAAAGAATCCAACAATGAAAAACAGTTTGCCTGTAAAACTAAACAACACTAGAGCTAGAAGAATTGTGTTTAAAAACAAGCAGCTCTTCATCCCTGGACTCTGCAAGGTTATATAACCCTCTGACCATTTATTTCCAAGCTGCTTTGAGCATCCTTAGCTGGTATCTTTCTGAGGTCAAGGCCAGTGCTTAAGTATCAACCATTACTGCAAAACCTCTATTTAACATCTGGTTCTGGTTTATATGCCTGGAACACAGAGACATTCAGACTGATCTGCTGACTAAAGGTTTAGCAGGTTGGTTTTAGGACATTGAGACAGAAAAGGAATTTTGTTTTCTTACTGCTTTTGGTTGAACTTATGAACTACTACAAATCTTTCTGCAAGATGAGTCTCATAACCTAAAATAGATAAGTAGGGAAGGGATGGGTTGGGGGGCACAGGGCGCGGTGAGAACATTGAAAAGGCTGACACTGATCAAACTGTACCGTGTTCATAAATGGCTTCAGTGAATGGCAACTCCTTTGTACAACTAAAGATAATAAAAATACAGAAAGAGAGAGGGAGGGAGGGAGGGAGGAAGGAAAGAAGGAAGGAGGGAGGGAAGGAAGGAAGGAAGGAAGGAAGGAAGGAAGGAAGGAAAAGGGAAGGAGAGAAACTCAAGTTCTAAATTCCTGCAAAACCAATGCCAAGGCTTGGCTAACTAGATGGAGGGGCTTTTTGCTTCTGCAAACAGCAAAAGAAAAAGATTAGAAAAACAAAACAAGCCAAGAGTATTGGTTAATAGTTGGTAGTAGTTTCATTTCCATTAATTATTGTTAGGTTACAGCATATAACAGGCTGATACCAACAGCTTAGGTCAACTCAGTTATTTGGTACTAACAGGTGTCAAACTTCTAGCCACACTCTTCACAAGAAGGCAAGTCTATAATCCACTGCTATAAGCTCCATTGTTTCTGGAATTCATCTCATTTCTAACTTTTATTTGAGTTTGCCCAACACCAAGTGAATTGCCTCTAGGTCTACCCTTATGGGGAAAAAAAACATACTCTAGTATGTTAAATACTGTAAACAGTTCCTATACTTACTGCATAAAATAACTTTCCATAGTTCAATTAATCTGTACTATTACAGCAAAGATAGCTGATTTTAATTATAGCCTGAAGATTTCTTGTAGCTGTTATCATTCATTTTTACTTAAAGGTGTGTGATAGATATATTTGCAAATCCAGAAATGAACTCAATCTATGAATGTATACCTAAACCAAAGTAGAAGGATTTTAAATGACAAACAAAAGATTCTGGTGAAGGGAACTGAATTTTTCACAAGCATGCACATACCCCTCAAACTGAACATTTTTACCGGCCCTGCCCCTCCCACCAAGTATAAAGCAGCTAAAAATAAGGGCCAGGTGGTATCCAACACAAAGAGGTTTAAGATTTGTTTGCTGTTGAGTGACATTTCAAAGCATGTTTGTCCAGTGGCATTTCACATGTTGAGTGACATTTCACATATTTAATGCAAAATACCTTACTGTCTTAAATATGTGCAGGTATTTGTTTAGTATGGACTTAAAAAACAAAGTCCAAATCAAGTAAACTTTAGAAATGTGTATTAAAATGAATAGCTCAAAGAATACCCTAAGTACTTTAGAAAGCAGTGGAGAAACACAGTTCAACCAGAGGAAAAGTTGAAACTACAACACCCTTGAAAATAATTTGAAAGTGAACAATAGAACCGTGATTATTTCAGTCACTGCCTTGTAACATTGAACAATTTGAAGGTGAACAACAGTACTGAGATTAATTCAGTTACTGCCTTGTAATACCAAATGAAAACAAACTATTGGAAAAATTAGTGAACAGAACATAAAGAAATGACCAATATGGCAAGTGAAAATAATGGTGTCATCCAAAGAATTAAATTGGTCCTATGTTATTCCTGGGTCACACCCACACAATACCACAACCATACCCCTCCCCCCCACACACAGATGTATGCACACATTCACACACTAAACAGCAAAACTAAACACACCTCTTTTCAGCCTCAAGTTTATCCATCCTTTTCCAGAGACGGTTAACTAGTGCTTCTTGTTCTTGTTCTAATGTATTTTCAAGGTCAATCTTCTCCCGTCTCAACTAAAGGGGGAAAAAACAGTTTTATTGAGAATGGTAGGACATGAAAACTTAGTTAAAATATTTTGATTGAACAATAAAGATGACTAAACTTGGAGCAAATCAAAGACAAAGCTCATTTCCTGGCACAGAAAACCAAATACATCTACTTTTTAAACTTCAATGGAGAAAACCATGACAGGTTGGAGGCTACTACTTAAGTGTCACCTGGTATATGAATCACATTTCTTTTCTTAGCATTTATTAGAAGCACATGGGAACTCTTACTCTTGTGGTGAAAGTTCTGTTTATTAGTTGCATACTAGGACTGGGTTTGTTACTTAGTCCTACATGTTGTTCAGTGTTCAATCAAAAAGGTTACATTACCATTTATATAAATAACTGTTAAGGTCTGGAAACCGCTCTACATACTGCTTAAAGGACTATGTGTGTATATATAAATATTTATAAAATGTGTATTAACACCACCAAATTCACTCCACTGACTACTCTGAGGATATAAGGAAGGAGAATTTGACTTGGAGGAAGGTATGTAGTTGGGGAAGGAATCTCTAATTGTATTCTATTTCTTATAAAACAGATGAAACAATTTCACAAATCAATACTGAGCAAGGTATGATAAACACTAAGGATAAGGCCAGACACTGGACACAGGACTATAGCTCTGGACCAAAGAGTCAGCCATTTTTGTTTTTTCCACATGAAACTTTTAATGGAGGTCATGATAGCAAATGAAACAAAACTCTACCTGAAAAACAGGAAGAAAACAGAGGGCTAGTAAAATAGCTGTAGAAATAACTGACTATTTGAATAACATATTTCCTGTAATTTTGGCAGTGATCCATACATTAGAAAGGACTCCTTTAGTTATAGTCTTCTGGCTCCCTCAGAAAGACAGAATGAAATGGAGGCAATTTCAAACTTTGAGCCACATATCTGGCTTCATGTCCCAGCACCATGAATTACCAAGTAGAAGACCCAGGGAAAATGAAGAGACAATTCCATCATTTGTTAAAATAAAGGATAAAAATGACTGGTGGGCTAGGAAGATGGCCCAGTGGTAGAGTGCTTGCCTCACATGCATGAGGCCCTGGGTTTGATTCCTCAGCACCACATAAGCAGAAAAAGTCGGAAGTGGCACTGTGTCTCAAGTGGTATAGCACTAGCCTTGAGCTGAAGAGCTGGTGGACAGTGCCCAGGCCCAGGCCCAGAGTTCAAGCCCCAGAACCAACAACAACAACAACAAAAAGACTGGTACATTGGGTCTTTGTGAGTCACAAGTGAAGTTACTCCCGACTGGCTAACACACTATTTTCTGGTTATCGCCATATTTGTTTATCTGTTCTACTTCTATGGGCACACGGTAAGTCCCAGGAGGCTTCATTCCTGTCTATTTTGGTCAATGATGTATCATCAGTATCTATCCTGGCAGGTTATAGACTATCAATGAATATTGGAATCTTACTGAACAAGTGAATAAGCTAACAGCACACAGTAAACAAAAAAATATAGAGCCTCAAAATACTTGCATAGAGGCTACACAGTAAAATGTGACTCTGAAGAACAATTCAAGGACAAGAAGCAGAGAACTTCAATAAATCAAAGTATTTTGTGCTATGAAGTTGGGAGACTTTTACCGTGCAAATGTTGCATCCAGTAGAAAGAAGAAACCTTGAACATTACATAGAACTTGTGTGAACTTCATGAAGCTCTGTGCTTATGACATGGTTGAGCTTTGAAGTACAATCCATAGTCATTTCTTTGGAGGAAACAACAACAACAACCCATAATCCAAGGCATTTACCCTTCGTAAATTTACCAGTGTTTAGCTAAAAGTAAAAAGCATTACTCCAAGTAGTATTAGGTAGGAAAAAATTCAAGAAGGTATTATTTTGTAGTATGATGTCTAATAAACACAAACCCAATTACAGTTGCAGTGGTCATGCATATTACTAACTCTAAAAACCAAATTCAGAAAAAGCTGCTAAATCAGTTCATGACTTAATTCTTTGCTCCTATTTCAGAGCTCTATTTCCCATCACTGATTGACAGTAAACCAAGAATTTTTATGATATACCCTAAACTAAATTTAGAACTTCTTGACTGGATAAATCTAATGTATAAAAATACTTGGAAGCATATCTAAATTCATAGCCTACCCTACTGGTATCTTCTATGAAGTAAAGGTACAAGCAGCCAAGGAAGGATCCCAATACATCCACATGTCTTCTTCATACTGCGTGTTCAAATTTAAGAATTCTTCCTCTGTGGTCAAGGTGGAAGAAGGGAATGTTTGCCCAAAATAGCCTTAGTACTCAGCTATAGGACTAGGAAAGGCTTTTAATTTAATTTCTTCTCTATCCTGAAAGGGCTGAGTCTAACCACCATTTCATTACAATTATGGTGGGAAATGTATTTTAAACTCTTAAGTATTTGACTTAAAAAATAAGTGCTGGAAAGCATCTCATTACAGCTAAGATATTTACTAACCTAGACATCTAGACATAATAAACGAAGGAAAGACTGTGAAATGAAGTTGATTAGCCTTCTAAGTTATGTCTGAAGGACATTAATCACTTCATTATGTACTATCATAAATGTTCAAGTATTCAATGCCTGAGTCAGAGCTACATAAGGATCACATCTGGGAAAATAAAAACATAATGTACACAAAATGAATAAATCAGAATCAGAACACAAAGTTTCATTTTCACTGCAAGAGTAGAGATGCTTTCCCACAACTCTGAGTTAATCTATGCTTTTTGTTTACATTGGAAAGAAGTGACTAATAAGATTTATAAGAAGATAATTAAAATTTACCACATGCAACTGGCAGGAAAATAGTGACATCCATGCACAGTGCTTCTTGCTTTAGGTCAACCTTATCAATTAAAGCAAAATAGTAAATAAGTAAAATAAAATTTAAGCACAGCCTATGTAGGTTGTTGGCTTCTGCTCAGGTGATAGGTGGAGACTTTCCCGTAAGGTGGAAGACATCTGACTCTGGTCTTTTGGTAAGATTTTTTAATTAAAAAATAAAAATCAAGCAGCTAAAGCGGGGCACCAGTGACTTATACTTCTCTATGTAACCTCATGTCACCTAGCAACTGACAGTACCATCTCTGGATACCACTAACCCTGAGGCCTCTCAAGGCCCTGAGACTGCTATGTGGCTGTTATCTATAGACTCACTATAAAGACAAGCTTAGCCCCTCAACATTGCCATGCAGCTGCAGTTCTTGCTCTCTCCATGCCCCATACTGAAAGAGAAGGGACTCAGCTTCACATCGTCACTGGGTATTTCTCTGTTCTTAGCAACTGTACTCTCACCAGAACCTGTAACTACTTTTCACTGTCTGTCTCCTCTCCCATCCCATTTCTGTCTCTAGATACACTTCTGCTTCCCTGCAACAAGGCTGCTGGACTGTGTGTGTATGTGTGTGTGTGTGTGTGTGTGTGTGTGTGTGTGTCTGGACTGTGTGTGTGTGTGTCTGTGTGCGTGTCTGTGTCTATTTTTCCCTACATGAATCTCAGTACAGCTTCCAGTCTTCTCTGCTGGTTGGATACCTTCTTCCCTCTGCTACCACTGTACTCTGCCCAGTGCTTCAGCACTAGCCACAGACCTACTTGTATCCCTATCCTTGGACCAGGCACCTTGAAAGACAGCATTGCCTGTTATCTTTCCTAGAGACTTTATGACACATAGTAGGCATGTTATTAAGGAATACATGCAATACCATTCCATCAACTACAGCATGGATGGGGGCAAAACAGAAGGCCAAAGAAATTAGGTTACTAATGACATAAAAGCACACATAGACTCATAAACTAAAGAGATGAATAGCCAGATCAAAAGAAGGAAAATGTGCAGGCTCATTTTCCCAGAACATGAGGACAAAGTACCACACGAAACAAATGACAGCTCACATTATTAATGGCAACAGCTACAACTTTTGGAGAACTTACTAGGTCTCAATTGCTAGGAATACAATGATCAGGTCATCATGGTCCCCTGCCTGCCTCTACTTTACAGGTAACTTATTAGGAAGAAGCAACTGAACAACATGGAAATACTGCACAGACCCTTCAGTGACCAGAGGGGAGATAAGAGAAAGAGAAAGAAAAGTGTGTGTATGCGTTAGGCAAGGGAGACAAACAGGTCCATGAAGATCTGGAGGCCACAAAGCATCTAGCACACCAAAGCATGTTTCTCAAACTGCAGGCCACACCCACTACTGAATTGTGAAATTGGTCTAGTCTTCTGTGACCTACATTTCTCTAAAAGCAAAACATAACCAAAGAGAACATTAGTGTAAAACACTGCTTTTTAAAACAACAAAATATATAGAGAGCTTTTTATAAAGTATCTTTTATAAAATTCTTTAAAAATTGATAAAATATTTTATAAAGCAATCTTACAAAACTAAGGCATAAGAATCAGTACATTATGTACATATACCATTCATCTAACACATTTATAAGATTATTTCTTTGTTGCTTTGTATGTCCCTCCCCCACGGTATAACCCTTGCTTTCACTGTATTTGATGTCGGTATAATTTGTGGAGGGGAAGGGGAAAAAACAAATCGTTTAAATAGGGATACAGGTGGACCCATTGCAACAATGAGATGTACAAGTCGTATGTCAAAAACAAACTTTACAACTTTGGTGGGGGGGGGTTGGGGGAGGAGGCAGGGGGAGATGGGATGGGAAGGGGAAACAAAGGAGGTGGCTACAATGCTTGATAAGAAATGTACTCATTATCTTGCCCATGTAATTGTAACCACTCTGTATTTTCACAATAAAAAATAAATTTCAATGATGTGCCAAAAAAAAAAAAAAAGAATCAGTACATTAGATTAGTATGGGCATTTATTTCTTGGTGTGAAGTTGACTTCAATAATCCTGCTTCACAAAAGGTCAAGCCACAGTCACCCATCTTATAGATAGAACTTTTTTTTCTATATTAGCATATTTTAAAAAGGGCAGAGTGTACAAAGGGGTTCATTGTGATATTCTATACATGTATACAATATATCCCCTTCCCCTCCACAAATTATACCAACATCAAATACAGTGAAAACAGGGTTATACCATGGGGGAGGGGCATACAAAGCAACACAGAAATATCTTATAAATATGTTAGATACAATAGCAAGAAAGAAAATCACATTTGAGTCCTTAACTTGGGGTTCATTTCGCTTAACATCAACTTATCTGACCATTTCTGCTTGTCTCAGACATATACTAGTACTTGCAAATAAGGAAAACCATGAGAACTCACTCCCTAACACAAAAAAGCAAATTCCGAGTTTTAAATGCTTTCTTACTGCATAAGAAAATATGATACCCAATATAGTAACCAGCTGTTTGAAGAAAAAACTTCCATTATGGGTTCACAAGAATGATCACCTATTTGTTTATAATGTCCCTCACAGCATGGCAACGTGCAGACTAGATTAATCCAGTTTATTGGATTAATACTTGAGCTATAAGACCTCATAATTTTGTAATATTCTCAATATGCTTTCTTACGCCTTCTTATTAACTGACTTTGGGCAGTGAGCATGTAGAATGCTGAGTAAATCCTCCGAAGCTAACAAAAATGCATTAAGACACTTAAGCAGGCTGTCTGAACAGGGAAGAACGAGTGTTCCCTCAAGTATAAAAGATGGTGTTGACTGTCTCACAAAAGCTAGGTCTTCCCTGAGTCTGGAAACATAACATCAGGCTGAGAAAGATGGCCTGTGTCTGCCCATCACTACCTTTGTGACTTGAGAAAGCTCCTGTTCCCTTTCTGGATTTCCATGTCTGAGAAAGGGGCAGGCCATGCACAGTCCAAACTTGGCTAGCTCTCAGAACCAAGACCCACTCAAGGATCCTCCTCTGTAATAATCTCTGGAGGGACACAAAGTATGAAAATGTCCAGAATAAGAACTAATGTCAATATTCAAGGACTTCAGCATGATTTTTTCCCCCACCCGTTGCACCACTAGGGTCTGAGGCCAAAGTTAATCTCAACACTGTGGCCTTTCCTCCCATACTGCCACACACCAACAGAACCACTCAAAGCCAAGATCCTTTACCGGGAAGCTGTTCATCTTTCCTATTTGAAGGCTGCCAGAACTGAGTCTAAGAGAATAATAATGCTATTGAACTCATTGTCTACATCCAAAGCCTGACTTTCAGTGAGAAAAACTTATAAGTATGTCCCTCTAGCATGAGTTTAACTGGGACCTACTGAGGAAGGAACCCCAACACTGACTCTGAAGGCCAATTCATATAGCCAATTTCTGGAAAAGATCTTGCCTTACTCCTTTTGTAGGTTCAACCCACTAAATACAAAACATGAATTATTTTAAAAATACTTTTGTACAATAGTAAAGTTACTGTTTGACCCAGCAATTTCACAACAAATGAAAGACTTACGTTCACAGCACCAATATTCATAAGAATCAAAAAGTAGAGACAAGCTAAATGTGACCAGATGATGAGTAGATAAATAAAATGTGGTATATCCATATGGTAGGAAATTATTTGGCTAGAAGAAAAAAAGATAATGTGGGCACATACTGCAATATGGATGAAAATATTACACTAAATGAAGGAAGGCAATGACAAAAGACCACACATTGTGAATTTTGCTCAGATAAAATGTGCAGAGTAGGCACAGAAGGTAGAGTAGAACTTTCTTAGGGAATAGGGGACATAGGTAGAGAGCAGAGTTTCCTCTTGAGGTCATGAAAATATTCTAAAATTGATGGTAGTGATAGTTGCACAATTCGGTACTAAAATACAATGAATTTATATTTTAAACAGCTGATACTTAAAAGTATCCTAAGAAAAATGAGGAAACAATATGGAAATGAGAAAGACACAGTAATTGCCTTCAAAGAGTTTATAGATAGTATACTTAGAAGAACAAAGTCACAAACTACATCTGAATCATAGTAATGTCTTTGCTCTCCTGGCAATAATACATAGTATAAAGCAAAATGTATTATTTAATGTAGTATAGTCCTTGACATATTATATAAATTAGATAATCTCAAGACATGACCAAGGAGGTGATTATGGGAACACAGATTTATTTCTAAAGAAAAAATACCCAAACACTTCTCCTTATCACTGACTAAAATTATTTACAGTTAAACAAAACACACAGTAAGATTCCCAAATCATCCAGGATGTAGCCAAAACAAAAGGGGAGGAGGTCAATTTTATGACAATATGAAATTTCTGTTCAAATTAAAATATGGGCTTTATATAGTGGATCTGAGGCTGAAGTCTATCACAAAGCCTTGCAATGCACATGTTCCATTACAGAAGTCCTCTTTAATTACCAAGATCTGAAATAAGCTTGAAAGATCAGCAAGTGATTAACTTGATATAGAGAATGTAGGCTTTTACCTTTATTTTAAAGGTGTTACCTTAATAAATTCTATAGACTTTATTAAGTATTAGAGGGAAGCAGCTGATCCCTTCTTCCCTTCCCTCCCTTCCCTTAGATGGTCTATGAAATCAGGCCACCCTTCTGATACTAGCTCACTGCTTCCACCTTGTGGCCACAGTGAAAGCCTGGGGGTCAAGGCCTCAGTCTCAAGGCCCCACTGGGGCCTATGAAGAAATATAAGACAAAAGCTGTGTAAAATTGCCAACAGTATTGTAAATACTGTGGCATGACAAAGTTCTCACTACACCAACTACTGTGAGAATTTGACTTGGCCACTTAGTTAGATCTCGAAGAACAAACACCAATTCAAGTACCTGTGAGGGACTTAGACAAGAATCCTCAAAGCTTCAACTTGGATACAACAGGAGCTACTTGAGAATTAAGCAGGTCAACATTGGAACAAAATATCTTTAAGTCCAGCTTAAAAATAGATTTAAAAGATGCAAATAGATTTGAAAGATGCAGGTTCACCAATAAAGCTGAAGGTTAACGATAAATTGCACTGGAGACGAATAGGAATATGTATATATATAGAGATCTCTCTCTCTATATCCATATCTATCTCATCAACCCTTGAAAACAACTATTTTCCCAATTTACCTGGAAGAGATGAAGGCTTTCTTAGAAAACCTAGTAACATTCCCCACTTTGAGAGCTTTGTCTATATGAGACAAAAATAACAATAAAAAGTCAGTATTACTTGAAAACAAACCCTAACTTCCCCTCAGACCTACTGCTCCCCCATCAGGTTCACACTCAAGTAAAAACTGCTCTCAGGAGTGCTGAGAGCAATGGATGAATTGGCAGACACATAGCCATGACCCTGAATTTGAGATCAATCTAACAAAGGTGCGTGAAAAGCTTAGACAAATCATCAATTAAGGTCTGTAAGACAAAGATCAATTTACTGAATTTTGCATAGCAATCCAAATATCTGTACATTATAGATAGCTTCTTATAATTTACTACAGAATACAGTTTCGGCGGGCTAGAGAAGGAAAGGACAGTAGAGGCACGAGGCCAGGGACTGCATTCTAACCAACCGAGTGGACGGAGGGATAATGACTGCCCACAGTTCTGTGTGGTGAGGAGTACAAGGACCAGCATAGACTTCTAAAGTAACATCTCTGATCTATATAAACGGCTTTCAAGGGCTTTAGACAAAACAATATGTATTATTGCTATCTTCCACTTGTTGTTCCTCTAGTTTGCCTTTTCCCATTTTAGTCCATTCTGCTCTGTTTACAAATAGAGAACTTGGGCCTAGAGAAATTAATCAAGTCTGTGGTTTACCCAGGATGAGTTACCAAGTTTGTGGCGCCATATCAGTATCAACAAGTTTAGCTGGGGAAAGATGCTCTTCACATAAGATTGCTAATAACTCAGCTGGTCACCAGTGGCGCATGCCTATAGTCCTAGCTACTCAGGAGGCTGAGATCTAAGGATTGCAATTCGAAGCCAGCCCATGCAGCAAAATCCATGAGACTCTTATCTCCAATAAAATCATCAGAAAAGGCTGGAAGTAGTGCTGTGGCTCAAGTGGTAGAGCACTTGCCTTGAGCAGAAGAAGCTCAGGGACAGTACATAGACTAAGTTCAAGCCCAGGACCAGAAAAAAAAAAAGATTTCTAATAACTCAAAGAAGAAAATGACAGATTGCATATTTTGAAGAACCTTTGAAAGAAGCTTTTTAGGTCCACACCCACTTCATCTCAGGAACTTTCATTACAGAAAGGCTCTTTTTGGTTAAATACATTCTTCACCCTTTGTAAAAAAAAAGAACCTGACTCTAAATCAGAGTATCATCACATATCTCCTAAACTTAATTAAATGTGGACAGAGAGAAAGAAAGTACAAGAGAGAATGAGCAGAGTATGTAAACTTGCCAATGATTACTTGAGAAATGAAGTCTCCACTGTGGGAAAACAAGCTGAAACACACTGTCCATTCATATTCCATAGGGCATCTTACAGCACAGCTGGAAAGAACAGCTGTCAGGCGAAAGCAGCATCCAAGGAGAGCTCAACGTGCTTACCTGCTCTAATGTAAGTTGTTTGGAAATGGTATCATTCTCCAGTTTTTTAATCTTCTTCATCAGTTTATTGACCTGAAATTCCTGCTCCTGTTCCAGATGCTGCTCCAGTTCAGCTTTCTCATGCTGCAACTAGAAAAGGAGAAGAACACAGACATGGAAATTAACAAGCGCAAAAGCCATATAGACACTGGATCAAAGGTGAAGACACTGGTTAGGAGGCCTCACCACAAAAGTGATATTACTTATATCTGCTCAAAATGCAATTGAGTACTGGGAGCCCACTCCTAATAGGTTCCTTATAGCTGTAAGTCATAAAACAAATTCAAGTAATATCAAACCATAATTAAACACTGATTTCAATTTTAAAAGAAATGAGCAGTTGTTTCTGTAGGAAAGAATAAGGAGGGTAGGGAAGGAGGTAGGGAAGGAAACTTATTTTCCAGCATAAACGTTCTGGCCTCTTTTGAGTTGTATGCTGTAAGAATACAAATTAAGGCATATTCTATAAATAGAAATGTCACACCATGTTTATTAAGTGAAGTTTATTCAGACTTCTGTTATGTTTGCAAAAGAGAAAGAGATGTCACATCACAAAATATACCAAGTGAATTATTCAGAATTACTAAACTATCTCCCATCGTGCAAGAAAGCATACTAAGGCAAAAAACAGCACCATTGATTTTCCCCAATTAATAAAATTGTACATCACACTTTGTACATCCTTCTTTAAAACCATGGAGCAGCCGGGCGCTGGTGGCTCACGCCTGTAATCCTAGCTACTCAGGAGGCTGAGATCTGAGGATCTTGGTTCAAAGCCAGCCCGGGCAGGAGAGACCGTGAGACTCCTATCTCCAATAAACCACCAGAAAACCGGAAGTGGCGCTGTAGCTCAAGTGGTAGGGTGCTCGCCTTGAGCTGAAGAGCTGAGGGACAGCACCCAGGCCCAGAGTTCAAGCCCCACAACCGACAAAAAAAAAAAAGAAGGGCTTCGCCTGATGTCTCAGAACCCAAGAGAAAGAGATAAAGTAAAAGCAAATAAGAATTAGCGACGTGCCAGGCCCAGTGGTGGTTTCAAGCCAGCCCAGGGAAGGAAAGTCTATGAGACTCTTAGCTCCATTTCACCACTAAAAAGCTACAAGTGGAGCTGTGGCACAAATGGTAGAATACTAGCTTTGAGTGAAAAAAAAAAAAATCTAAGGGGCAAGGCCCAGACCCTGAGTTAAGCCCTAGTACCCAGACAAAAACAAACAGCATACAAAGGTTAATCTTCAAAACCATTTCTTTGGGCAATCATTTTTGGGCATGAGGCTCTGAACATGCATTATGAGGCACAATTACCTCTTTTCTATATATGACCACAGAGGCCATTGGACCATGGCAATACAGTCAGAAAGTGGTAGCATTTGAAGCCATAGCAGGCTCTGAGCCCCAGACTAGGTCTCATCCACTGTACCTGAGCAAACCCAAGAGAAATTGTCTCCAGACACTAACACTCACTAGTAACCTAGCACACCCTTGGCATTTGCAAATAAGATGATTAAGCACAGGAGAAAACAGCAATGTGTGCCTGTCTGAGGGGTGAGAAGGCAGTTGCTGCATCTCTGTCTCTGTCTACACACTCCAAGGGGTACAAAGGACAATGGAGAAAGCTTGGCCTTCAGCAGACTTAGTCAGCCTCAAAATGGCCAAATCTATCTCTCCCTCCAGGGTTGACTTGATCCACTGCTCTGAAAATATACACTTGGCTTTATAAGAGGAAGCTTAAAATCTGATAAAAGTCTTCTAGAAATGTTGAGTAAACAGATGCTGTTTTTGTTGTACACCTAATTAAAAAAAAAAAGCTGGTCAACTTTGCAGGGACCCAGAAAACAAAAACAAAGCAGATCTGAAGACGTGCTTACAGGGAAAAGTCTATTTAAAAACTCAGGTTCTGTAGACTAAGAAGCAAGGATAAGAACTGAGAACCAGAAAGGAAGAGAACCGAGACCTGAGCACCAGAAAGCAAGAAGAGTTCCCATATGCCACACAGAGACCCCAATGGAACAAATAATGCCATGCTCATGAGGAAAGCTAGCAAAAACATAATCATATAACATTTTATTCAACAAGCATTTGTTGGGTGTGTTCTGATTTATGTACTATGCCAGTGGAAGATAAAATCTATAGTTCAGAGACCATCCATGCCCTCATACAGTTTACTAACACTAGGCACCTCTCCTAGTTTAAAGAAATAAACTCGAGTCTGAAAATCTTTAAACTGTTTGCCAGGTGAATTAAAGGATATAGTTCAATATTGAAACATGCTTACAGTATTCACTATAGGAAAAGAATATAAGAACAGTGAGGCTCTCACAGGCTTGCATGCACACAAGTCGTATTTAGACACATGGTCTAACCTGTCAATATGTAGGCATTTCCTTTAAGACTGCAGACTGAGCAAAGCCTACAGGAGTTCCCAATTCAGGAGGCTTTTTCTTCTCAAGAAAAGGCAGTTGTTAGCAAGATTCAAGCACGGTCCCTGGGTTACACCAGCCTATTTGGAAGATAAAGCCATCCCGAGACCTAAGTCTATCTGCTAAAGATGCTGTTTTCATTATCCACAAGAGATCACTGAAATAGTCCTGTTGTCTGCTCTGTTCTGTCACCTCTCAGGTGACAAGCAAATTTAGAAGCAGGTTTGAAGCTTCTGAACACAATTTCTTTTCCAAAGAAATCACCAAGAAAAAAAAAAAAGTAGTAAAATACAGAAATACCTCAAATCCTCAAAATAATTAAATGAAGGTTAAGATGAGCCGGGGAAGAGGCAGACATGGGAGTAGGGATCGGGAAGAATAATCATGGCATTTATCTCACAAAAATGTGTCTGAGAAAAAAAATGGAGAAATTGTTTTAAATAAATACAGTAGAGCATCGCTAATTTAAAAAAAAATGCTCCATATTCTGCAACTATCTGAGCAACAACATAATCCAGGCAGAAAGTTTCTCACCAGACTTCATATGATGGTCACAGTAAAAGTATAGATATTGTTGTATTCAATAACCTTCAGGCTATGTGTGCATAAGCGCTCTCTCTCTCTCTCTCTTTCTCTCTCTCTATATATAGGTATATATATTTATATATATGACACTTCAATAAATTGAATTTCATGTTTAGACCTAAGTCGCATCCCCAAAATACTTATTAAGCATACACAAATATTCTCAAATGGGGGGGGACTTGGAATTGAAGATGTTTTTGATTCCAAGTGTCTCATTCCAGGTGTCCATTTGCTCCATGTAAATCCAAGCAATCTGGTCCCCAAAGTGCTTGAACCAACACCCAGAGTCCACTTGTTTATTTAGAAGATATAGCTTATGACACCCAAGTCAGAAAACTCTCCAGTGAAACTGGCACAGGCCAACCATAACAACTATCAGAAGTAAATTCGAATTTCTTCTCTGTTGCTCATTTTCAGTGTGGTTTGATTTTACATTTCTAAGGCGAGGTCTTAAACTGCCTTGTAAATACTATCAAATCTTCTAATAAGGTCAGAAATCCTAAACTAAAATTCAAACTAAGAAGCAAATAATTAAGCAAATTCTATGAATATGTTTAAAATAAACTCGTGTTTGCCATATATATATATATAAAATGCATAAACATAATGAAAGTTTTTCAAAATCCAGAGTTTATACATAGTACTTTTTGTAAAAAACAATCTCAAAAATTATAGAATAGTTTTCAAAATCCTTAGCTATGTCATATATAGTTAACACTAACAATAGCAAGAACAACAAAAATTCGTGTACAACTAGAATGACATTATGTAACAGATATCTCCCTAGTATTAGGGGCACAGGAACAAAGGTTTGTTCCTTAAGATTCAGTATGAAAAAAGGTAGTATCACTGAAGAAGCCACAGCAAAGATACAACTGTGAAGCAGAACAATTTTAGACTTTTAGCTAAGCATTTTCTTATTTTATCACTGATGGCATAGAGCAAAATACCTATATCCCCCTAAAGAACGCAAATGCGGCATAAATTTTATCTCAAGCACATGAGCCTAAAAAAAAAAGTTTACTATCAATAATGGTCATGACAAGTTACAAAGGCTTTCTGGGACCTTTTCAATGAGCCAGGTCTCTTATATAAGAGATTCAAGAACCATACACCAAATGACATTTTATTCCCAGCAAAATTCTCTCAGGCAGGTAGAGGCGTTGAAATCACTCACATGGGAGACCCACTGCCAACAGGTGCACATGCAGGCCTGGCAGGTGAGCCAGCCCTCCCACCCAACACACAGGGAACTTTGCCAAGTATACATCCTGCAGGTCTGGGCTTGTCATCCAGCCAGCCCTAACCAAGTGAGGCAAACCTTCTGACTGCCAGCCCCAGGACCCGCTTTCCTAAAACAATTTGACAATGCCTCCACTTTGGCATTATCCAGTCAACACTAATACTCTTGTGTATCACCCATGTCCCACTATTCTTGGTTAATGACGACTACATGGAACCTGGCTGCATGCTCCATGTAAAAGCTTGCATAATAAATGCATTAAGTCATTGGATCATCAAAAACTAGGATCAGGTCTTAATGTCTGAAAAATGTCAAAAGGTATTTCACAAAATATCAAGCATCTCTCAAGAATCAACTTTTTAACTGCTACTGAGTAGTAACTCAAGACTCCCTCCTCAATGTCTGAATCACCACTCATTTGAGCCCACTCTAATTCCCACTTCCTTCCTGCTGTGACTGGGAGTTATTCTTGCTCAACACCTTCCATCTCTTCAGTTTATCAATTACATGAAGTCAGCCTCCATAACAACTGTCAAACACCCTCTCCTTCCTGCGCTTCTAGCCCAGTCTAGTTGAGGCTATTTATCCCTCTTCATAAGGAATGAAAGTGGATAATCCCAGCAGACAAATTCTAGTACTACAAAGCTCTACTCAAAGCCTCAAAGTGCCTCAGTACTCCATACAGACTAGACCCAAAGTCATTAGAATAGCATTTAAGTCCCTAGGCAAACTGCCAAGCTTGTTTCAGTTGGTCCAAGTGACAGTCCAAGGTTTGCAAACATAAATGACTTCAGGCACCAAGCCGAAGGGAGCAGGAGCAGGAGCAGGGGCAGGGGAGAGAAGGGGAG